GGGGGGGGGGGTAGCGGGGAGAGAAGGTTCCAGAAAGCCACCAGCTGGGTGGATGGTTGCCGGGTCCTGGGCACTGTGCGGCTGGATCTCCAGGTGATGCTGTGGCACTCACAGGTGACCTATGACCGCGCTGTGGTCCCCTGAAGTCCTCCAGGTGGGCAGCCACATACAGGTGGGTCCTGGGTGCCCCTGGAAAAATCTGCAGGTGCCTAAGGCCACTGGAACCTCCTGGGGGTGCCCAGTCACCCCAAGAGTTTGAACGCCACCCCCCGAAGTCCCCAGCAGTTCACAAGACGGAAGATTCTCATTCTCACCCAGCAGACAGCCTGGCGGAGAGCGAGGAGCCTCCTATTTTTTTTCTGAATGATAATTTCCCCCCCCCCTTTTTTTTGTAGCTAAAAATCACCCAGGCTTGTCCAGACGAGAGGGCAGAAAATTATGCGGTGAAAGAGAAGGGAAGATAATTTCTCTGGGTCACAGACATTCTCGCCTGTCATCCGTCTGCAGGAGACGGGGAGAGGGAGGGAGAGCCTGCTGAGATGCGAGGCCCGAGAATGAAAATGAAGGCTGGCCCAAATCCATCACTGTCCTGCTCGCTCTCCCCAGGTGGGGGCGGCCCTGGCGGGAGGGCCGAGGCGGACGGGGGCTCCGGGCTCTGATCGGGCCAGAAAGGGAGGGAAGCTGCGGAGGGGGGGAGGGAGACGGACCCTGCTGTCCCAGCTGGACAGGCCCACTTCCTGCCTCGGGCCTCAGTTTCCCCATTGAGACAACACGGTTGAGAGCTCCCTCCTCCACTCACTGCCTGCACCCCTCCCACACACGGGAGGTAGCAGATGGGAACGGCCTGGAGAACCTGGACCGTGACCACACCAGATATGCGAGGTCGTGCTCCGCGTTCACCAAAGGCAGACGCAGCCTGCGGGCACCTATGGGAGCCCCATACGTGGGGACTCCTGTGGTCACCGGCTCCACGTGGGCTTCTGGTGGCCTCGACTGGAAGACTCAAGCCCGGAGTCTTTGGCTAAAGGCTAGGATCTTCTGCCTGCCCCAGGTTCAGGTCCTCTCGCCCAAGGAGGAGGAGCGTGGGCCTGCACAGCAGGGAGGTGCGACCTTCCCGGGGGGCTTCAAAGGCCGCCTGCGGCTTTAAAAAAGCATCAGTTCCCCGACTCTGGCTTCTCTTTACTCCCATGTACCAGGAGGGGCTGTATCTGTTCATGGACTCGCTCATTCTACAAATATTGATTGAGGACCTGCCATGGGCCGGATTGAACGGTCGGGAGGACCGAGAAGCAGGGAAAAAGCTAGATCCTTACAAGGAAACAGGCAAACGGGCTGCGGGAAAGCGAGGGAGGGCGGCCCGGTTGGATTTGATGTGAGGCGCGGGGACGCTGTATCGGGCAGCGGCGGCTGAAACGGTGCCGCGGAACGAGCCGCCCCGCGCTCACCATCAGCGTTCCCTGGTGCCTCGTGCGTCTCTGGGTCAAGGGCTGGCTTTGCCTGGCTCTGCAGTGCACCTGTGGTCAGCTGTGGCCGGGTAGCCGACTCCCTGCCATGTTTGGGTGGCAGTTGGCTGGCAGTTGGTCCAGAAGGGCCTCTGCGGGGAGGACTTGGCTCTCCCCCGCGAGGCCACTCGTCCCCAGCAGGCCAGCCCAGGCTCATTCTCAAGGCGAAGGCAGGGCTGCAGGACAGACTGAGGCTGCAAGGCCTCTTGAGGCCTCTGCTCCGAGCTGGCCCAGCATGTCTTCTGCCACATTCTACTGGCCAAACCCACTCTGGAAGCCAGGGCGGTCCACCATTTACCTGTCCCCGCAACAGCACAGTGCTGGGCACAGGTGGGGAGCTCCGTCAATGCCTGTGCGCTGGATGTACAGGTGGAGGGGTGGTGGACGAATGCTCTTGGACTTTGGCTGAGCCCGAACTGATGACAAGGGGTTAAAATTCCTCAGCCTGGCCGATTAGGAGCCCCCGTGCCCCTTCCCCGGAGCTGCAGTGAGCAGAGAAGACAGCGCCTTCCTCCCAAAGTTTAATTAAGTGATCTGCCTCCACGGGGCTAATCCTGTTATCACTGCCCAGAGCTGACCGCGGGGGCGGTGGAAAATGTCAGCTGTCGGGAGGGCCTGGTGGGGCGCTGAA